AAATTCAATGCTACTGAACCGTTGACTGTAGAGTTTTGTTATTTCAATTTAATTAACTCTAGTAAAGTACAAGAACTTAGGAGGGAGAGTTATAGGACAGCTCATGAGTTGACTAGAAAAGCAACCCATGTGAAAGAGGATCAATCGCTGTTAGTCATGGTACCACATATTTATTATCCATTGCGTGTTGGAGCTTGGAAGGAATGATGTACATGTAGATTTTTTATATTGAATAAAAATTAAAAAAATTCATATAAAAAAATAGAATATGTACTAATTGTCCACTTTAAAAAACAGGAGTGCAATAAATACAACGTCGCGTATTGTAACCAAACGACGCAGATGCTGGAAAAACTAGTTGGATTTCTTTGTCTGCATTAAATTATAAATTACTAGTAAAATCATTTAATAAAGATATTATTTTTTTAATAAAAATAAAGATATATATATTTTATGAACTAAAGATATAGTATTATCTTATTTTATAAAAAAAAAACAGATAAATTATCTTATATTTAGAAATCCGTATCTATTTACTGAATTTAAATATTCAAATGTAAATTATAAAAAAAAATTAAAAACTACTAACACATAAAGTGTGGCTTTCCAACTTTAGTTGTTGGCGTTTTAACTTGTAACCAAATTAAACATTTCCGAAATAAAATGGCAAAGTAGGATGTAATGTATCACACCTCTACATCCTACTATACAGCCGGCCAACAATGGGGAAGGGAAACAAAACACAAGCACTCAAAGGGAATGGCTATATATGGCCGAACACATTTTTGTTAGGATTACATAAAAATTATAAGTATGTTTTGTTTTACTGTTAAAAATAGTTAATAATTATAATCATTAATTAATATTTATTATTTAATAATTTAAAATTAAATTATATTAATATTTTTAAATATTTAATTAATTATAAATTAATAAATTCAATCAAATAATTTACCCTTTTTTTTTATCAACTCTTGAATTGAAAATGCATCTACAACATAATTTATACCCATCAGACTAAAAAGTTCACATGTAATAAAATCAAATAATTTACTATATATATGTGTAGTCTTAAAAAAAATTGTGTGTAATCATAACATGACCATAAACACTTGTTCGGTCTTAATTTGTCAAGGGATTTCTCTCCTAACCAACAACAACTTTAGGTTGGTTAATCAGTTATTATCTTGCTTTAAATGAAGATCTTGTAATTAATTAACGAAGAATTGCAGACATGGTACATACTGAGATTATGATTGACTATAAGTGGTTTAAAACAAAGAAGACAGCTCAATGATGTGGTTGGCATGGCATAATAATGGGTGTGGCCCCGCGGACAGGACGAAAAATTTTATTTCATTAAAAGTCTATATGTGATAGCCGAGGAAAGAGCCAACAAGTACGACTTGTTTTGTTTTTTTTTTACAAAAAAAAAAAAATTAAATGTTAATATATTTTGTTTTGTAAAAAGATCAAATCTTAAAATTATATATATTTCATATATTGTCCAGTGAACAACGTGATTATTATTGTGGTACACTGGTACGTGAGGGATTGCTCCAACAAGCACGACTCTTATGTTGCATAAAATATATGTTCTTAATTAATAAATATTTATTTATATATAAATTTTATATATTATATTTATAAAAAATTTAAATTACTTATTTTTAATAATTAAGATTTATTTATATTTTATTTATATTTTATTTTATTTATTAAAAATAATTATTTTTATTTAAAATAAATTTGTACTATTAAAAATAAAATATAAATACTTAAAATTGTATATCAATATAATATATAAAATTTATTTATAAATAAATATTTACTTATTCTAAAAATAATTAACTAAGTTATACTTTAAAAAATATATAATAAAATTTAAATTATATTATATTATACTACATAATTTAAATAATTAAAGGAGAGACTAATTTTCTCCTCTGACAGTTCTTTGCTTCCAATCTAATGCGGTCTCATGTAGCAGAACCAATAACTATCGCGCGTGTTTATATACATATATATATATTGTTGGAACCAATTCAAAAAAATATATATATATATATATATATCGGGAAAGTGGGTATCAGTCCTACCTCCAAAAAAAAGTTGGAGTCCCAAA